GCGGCCGGTTTGAAACGCTAAATTTGCATTCCGCCAGACGGAGAATGATCATCATCTCGTTTCTTTCCACAACGCTGAATCGACTTGCAGCGTCGAGCTGCTTCCCCAGTGACCGCTGACTGTTGTACAAATTTACCATTACAAATCGTCCAACTGTGACAACACCTTGAATATTTTAGGGGGAAGATTTATAGGGGACCTCGGGAGAAGTATCGGGTAATTTTTCTTTTGCCCCTTTTTCGGTTCTTCGGGGTGAAAACGGCCCTTGAATGAAGTTACCTTATTTCCCTGTATACCTTCGAAACTATAGTACATATAGAAAAATGTTTATAACAGAAATTCAACGACTTTTTATGGCCTGTAAGACGATTCCTTCAGTGCCATCACGATGGTTCCGTAAATAATTACAAAACTGAATCAGGCCAAAAAAACAAAGAACAAATTAAACGCAAATTGAACTGGATTTCACCCTGCTTCGCTACCAAGCAACATCGAGAACAACCCCACGAGGAAAGTTTACAACGATCGGTACAGGGAAAAGAGGGGAGGGACAAATCCGAAACGTTATTGAATTAAATTCGAAACGGAAGTGGATCTTCGATCCGCTCAAGGGGATGGAGAAAAAAGACGAATAGAAACGGGGGAGGACGCTGTCTTATTCCGTGCAGTTTCACAAAGTGTGGCTTACCCTTAACGATTCGCTCGTTAAAAGCGAGCGGATTTACCGTTGCCAACGAAATTACCCGGAGATGAAGCGAGGCTGTGGACCAGAAGAATTTCACTGGAGAAGGGAAAAGAAAGGAGGAATGGAGGAGGGAAGAGTACTTTGAAGGAGGTCAAGGTGAATAATCTAATTGTCGACGTGGACAGTGTTAAAGTTTTGGCTTTACGGCACCGACGACCATCTTCGCTATTTCTCTTCTTCTGAAAATCCTTGTTTATCCAATTTGCTTTAACCAGATATCGAGGTTCGGTTGTTGTCGACACGGACGTCCATTTTCGCTATTTTTGATTGCCTCTTCTTCTGGAAGTTCTTGTTTATCAGCCCTTTCGTTGCTGTTGACGCCTTGGAAATTTAGTCGCACTGTACAATTCGCGCCTTTTGGTACACTTCCATGTTAATTGTGTCTTTAATTTTATGTTGCAAGTGCTGCTATCTGAATTTAATCAGACAATTTTTTTTTTTTACAATTTTCTGATCACGCGTGTTAGGTAAAATTTGTCGCAGCGAAAGGGTTAAATCTGCTTTCAAACAGATATCCAGGCTCAGAAAGTGTCTTATGGATGCAGAAACTCTGCAGTGAATGTGTCTTCTAGTCTTTTCAGTGTCCAGTCGAAAATACTGAACAGTGATTGACGATGTGACGACCAAATCTGAAGTCCATCTCTCTGATTTGTTTCTATTTTCTAAACTTCGAACTAATTTGAACTACTAATACCCTTAGTTACGAACCTCTCTAACCTTCGTTGAGACCATAAGTTATAATGACCCAATTACATAGTAGTACTTCCACAATACATTATTCTACGGTGTGTTAATTCTAGTGCAGCCTTCGGGTCCTTTTCGACCCAAACACCTCAAGTGTATAATCAAACGAAGAACACACTAAGGTTTTTGGCAATTTCAATACTAAACAGAAATATCTTTGATAAGAAAATTTCACAACAAAAATCTCAGTTGCAAAATACAGATCTCTGTTGTTCCGTGGATAAAACTCAGCATTTGTTCCATCTGTTCACAAAGTCCTCTGGGTCTTTTTTGACCCGAACACCTCAAGTATACAGCCAAGAAGAAAACGTGTTAGAGTTAAATAAACAGACTGTTAACACCATCGAACGGTGGAAAAGGTGGAAATCGTGATGAGGTTTCCCGAAGGTAACGTTGAAAAAGTGTCACGTTTCGAAGGAAATAGCAGCGGTATGGAGGAATTTTGAACGGGATCTTGATACGTATAGAAGTGGTATTTTGTTGAGGGGGATCAGCATTTAAAACGGGGATAAGGGTGAAATTGGATCGGGAGATGGTAGGTAGGTAAGAGGAGATAAAAAGAGCGCGGAATCTATCGTCGAATTATTTGTTTTCGAAAGGTACTACAGCTTCACTCTCTCCGTCCCTAAAATGGCGAGTTCAAACCCTCCTAGTCGAACAGGTGTAATTCGAGCGTTTCTTTAAGTACACGAGCATTAAACCCTTTAGCAACTAATTCCACACTGAAACACGAATTTACTCGTTCGGACAAATTTGAAGCGATAAATTCGATAAGAATACTTGTTCCTTCTTTGTTCTTACAAAATATATAGAAGCTGTTCTACTTGGAAGTTTAAACTGCTGCGAGAAAGAACCGCGCGGAAAATTTGTATACAGCGCAATTAAAATAAAGGCAGACTTCTTACTCGTTCCGTTACTCCATTTCCCTCCTTTTTTCTTTCCTCTTTAATTAAATTCCTGGGGAACCTCGGTAGCATTCGAAAAAAAGCATGTTGCTGCTTACCAGTGCCAGGAAACTTCCGCAGAAGAAGCAGAGAGAAATGAGAAAAGGAACGGAAACGTGGGATTTCTTGAAAATTTCAGAAAATATCCGAGATCAGCGGAACGGAGAGGAATCAGAGTAAGGGAATGGTAAAGTAGTCCGGAAATTTTCGAATATATTAAAGATCGAATAAATGCAAGGACGAGAGAAAGAGGGAGAGATGGAGTTTAGGTAAAGAAGTCATAAGTGAAACGTTCCCTCTTTCCTTGGGCGAAAAATCGAAGGATACGTGGATTTCAATAATGATGAGGAAAAGAACAGGAGCAGGATATGTATATATGTACGCCTTTCCTCCGCTCTTTATTCATATTTCACAGTGTGCCAAGGATGGAACCAGCGTTCGCTTGTTCCCCGTCTATGCACACACGCGTCGCAAACTTTCGTTCGTTCATCATCGATCGAGGGAAGAGCACTCGCGTGGATGCTGCAAGCATGGAGTTCGCGTATCTGTTTCCCTGTACGAGAGAACAGAAGCTGTGTCATCTTGTTCGAACCTATCGAACGTGTCCGTTGCATAGCGATTTAGTTTACGACTTGGATCGAACGATTTAGAAAATGATATTCCGTCGATCCTACCGATCGGATAAAGTTGAATGAAAGAGAGGCACAAGGGTTGAACATTCGTGTTTCTCAGATGTTGTTGGAATGTTGGAAATTTAGTTTTTGTGTTTTAGTTGTTGCTTTTATTGAGTGGTTTTACGGTTTGAATGGTAGAAGTGTTGCGATTGAAAGGTTTCAAACGTCAGAATGTTTCAAGTAGGAAATAGGAAAGTCGATGGAAATAAAAAACTGAGAGCTGGTGGATTTATCTATCGTGCAATTATTGTCCGGGGAAATAGGGTATGCTGGAATGCGGAAATTAATGGTTTGAGCATTTATTGGTAGACAATAATTTTTGCGGATTTAAAAAATTTGAGTTAAAAAGTAATGGAATGTTAAAATTTTGCGAGTACCATGAAGTTTCATTTTGAAACAATTAAATTTTCAGATACTGTTTTCCTCTTGTGAAGAGTTGGGATTGATCTAATTTCGATAGTAATTAGAACGTTATGGTTTTTTTTTCAGTTTCTGAAAATTTGTTACTTATACAGTTGTGATAAGGAACCCTTTAATTCTCGTGTGATGTTGTTCTGTATGAAGTAGTGTTGATGGTTACTTCGAAAGCAATATAGTAGTTATTGTGAACTCCTCGGTGATAGATTTATGAAGCTAGTGGTCCTAGTAGGGTTTGGGTTCGCTGTTTACAACCCTCTTCCCTTCATTTTTGGACAGGATAGTAATACCCTCGAGAAATATGACCTAAAGTGTCACACAGTACAAGGGTATAAGGCTGCGAATTTTTGCTGTGTACGGTGAAGCTGTATAAAAGAAGAAAATTCGTATGGGGAAATTTTTATCAGTTATATTATAAAATACAGTTTCTATTGTAATATTATAATTATGATGGGATTAA